CATTATATATATATATATATATATATATATATATATATATAGCACACACACACACACACACACGGGGGGGGCCTTAACTCGGTCTCCCCCATCGGAGGCTCAAAAATGCCGTCCTGGGGCCCTATGGGCCCGCTCTTGGGGCGCTCTTGGGCGCTCTTGGGGCCGTCTCGGGGCCCTTGTGGATCCCTCGCGGGCCTATATTGGGCCGTTTTGGGGCCACCTCGAGGCCTCGAGAGCCCGCCGGAGGCGGAAAAGCAAGACGGCAAAATAAGTTTAGTTTATTAAGGGGGGGGGGTCCGCGGAGGCCTCGGGCAGCACTTGAAACCGTCTTGGGACCGCATTGAGGCCTCTCGGACGTGCGTCGGAGGCTAGCTTGAACCATCTACCGCTATATTGAGCCTTCTTGGAGGCCATCTCGCGCTCTCTGAGGCCCCCCTGGAGCCATCTTGGGCCATCTTGGGCGCGGCTGCGCCCCCCCCCACCCCCCCTCGAACGCATGGATGGGGGGGGGCCTCCCAAGCAGGGAAAGGAATGAGGCTGGACAAAAAAACGCCCTAGACCACCCGCGCCCAGAGGTCCGTTGGGACCCGGTGAACAACGGCACCTCCCTGGACCACTCATGGCCCAAAGGGCTGGTTGGATTTCAGCCACGCAAGTCGAGGACATGCCGACGAGCGTGCTCTCGCCTCTGGATGCAAGCCAATATCTGCGCGACGATAAACCAGATGCGCTCCGAGATGCGACGTTGATATTGTCGCCTCGATCTTTCTGGGGGCAAATCGATTCAAACGGCCCTATGTTCATTGACCATGATGAATTTTGCATGCGAAGCAACCCGACATGGATGGGCACGCGCATACCGATAATACTCCACGGCGATGGTGCTCTCATGGCGAAGACCGACGGGCACGTGTTATGCGTGCAGTGGCGGTCACTCCTGTCGCGAACATGTCATAATAACATGATGCCGTCGTTCATGGTTCATTCGCGGGCTCGAGCGACAGGTGGCGATGGAACTGATAACATATGCTGGCGCAGGCATGCACTTGCTGAGCGCTGCATATGGCGGCGCCCACCCTCTTACAGACGAGCGCAAGCTGCCGCGGGCTCCGCGCGCTCGGGCCAATGAAAAACAATAAAAAAAAATCTAGATGGTAAGTATGAGCTAGTTATGTGGCTATTGACGCGCGATCCAGGATATGGCGCCAACGAGATCGGGTTCCCGAATTTCAACGCACATCAACCACGCTGGATCGACAAGTGTTCCACGGAAGAGAATACGCCACACCCTATAACATACGCGCGGTTATGTGCTGCGTGAAAACGATCGCGCGTTCCTGCGCACAAAGCGCGCGCGGCGCATCAGCGATCACCCGATTCAGTCGATTAAGGGCATGTCTAGATTTATGAATCCAGGGGACCTGATGCACACTGGGAATGTGGGCGTGCTCAAATATGTCCTAAGCTCGGCGCTTTACGTGATCATGCATTCAGGACGCTTAGGGGTAGTAGTGAAAATCGGTGCGGCGAGTTTTATGATCATCGCTTGGCTCCGATGTATGCAAAGTTCTTGGACCCTGTTAACGCCTGGCACGTTCATTGTGAAAGATAATGTCCCTATGCTTGTCTAGAAAAGCGGCAGAAACGCAACGCCGACTGTATGCGTTGAAAAGAGATTGGCACGAGAACCGTGATGGCGGTGAACATGACGAGCATATAATGAAGGCATTCGGCTGCCTGTGTGACTGCTGGTGTACCCTTACGAGCGGGCCCATGGTTCCTGGCGTCGAAATTTCGAATCGCGTGACCAACTTGGTCGAAACGTTTCTGCCGCATAACAAAAAGTTGTTTAAGCATTGGGTTGCCAGGGGGCGACTGTGGTTCCATCACACAACGAAGAGACACATGATGATTCAAATTGCAGAATTGCCCAGGTGGTGTAACCCCATGTGGATGTGGTGTTTCGAATGGGAAGATGTCGTTGGCAAGCTCGTGCAGTGCGCTCGAGCTTCAACCGCGGGTACCCCACCGCACAAGAGTTCCATTCAAAGTCACGGAGTGTGTTTGGTGAACTTACATTTGAAATTGCATGTAGGTAGCGCAATGAGGCAGGAGTGTCCAGTCGAGCGAGCACATTCACCCGTTGTTTGCGCTGGAACCCCGTCTCTGGCAATTGCACGTTTGTTGTGTTCTTCTGGTTTCGCCACGTCCGACCAGCCCATCCTACAACAATTTGAACGAACACTACGTTACTGGGGTTTCTGGGGACGTTCTTGGGGCCTTCTGGAGACGCTCTTGGGGCCTTCTGGGGACGTTCTTTGGGCCTGCTGGGGGCCGTGTTGGGGCTCATTCGGGACGTTCTTGGGGCCTTCTGGGGAGCGCTTTCGGGAGGTGTGGGAGGTCTCAAGGGACCATCTTCGAAGACATCACGCTAAACGGGGGCGGGCGGAGCGGGGGGTAATTATTGGGGCCCTTCGTCGTGGCCAAGATCCTTGCGAGGGACTGTAAGAATGCTTTCTCCCGCTGGACAAAAAATGTTCCGATACCTCGCGGGCCCTTCACCCCTTCCCCTCCCGCAGGCCCACAGGAAGGGGCAGCAGGGCGGATAAACGCCTCGCCGCTGGAGAAACAGGGGGAGAAATGGACAGAGCATGCTACCGAAAACTCTCACGCCCACTAGGCTTGCTGGATTTGATGCTAGTGAGTCTTCCGACATTCCCGCCCCACACATGCATTGAAGTAACCTGCGAAAGCATAGCAACTGATGCGCCCGACGTGGGCGAACAAGTAGAATCGCAAGAACGTGAGGTTGTTGTGGTACTACCTGCACAGCAGTAGTAGAATAACAAAACACACAGTTATTGTACTGAAAGTATACTGCCACTGTGATGTTAGTATGATGCTATGCGTTGTTGGGTAATGATGTATACAAAAATTGAACATTTCCCTTAACTTCTACAGATCCTCAAGATGATACCACCAGTCCCCAACTCTCCTGGATTCCCGGATGTCTTCAAAATTTTCCATAACTTGTTCAGGATCTGGATTATCCAAGTATTGTTGGTTCTGGGCCGATTTCGGTGTGTTCTGGGTTCCTGGGCTCCCGGGTTCCCGGTCGATCTCCTCAGCGAAAACCATCCACTGATTGGGGTTTTCCTCTGGTGTAATATTTTCACAGCGCTGACCCCCAGAGGTCTGGACCCCGCTTCCTGGGACCGGCTTCTCGTCCTGAATCGATCGACTCAGGCTGAAGAGACGATGGTTTCTTGAAGGTCCCGGGGCCTGACGAGGGCCCCCGGAGGCCGAAAACGGCGAAAAGCCGCTTGCTCACGACGCGAGGGGGTCTGGGTCTCACGCCGACAGGCCTGGGTGCTCGGCGCTCGCAGGAAAGATCTGCACCTCTCTCACACGGTCAACCCGTACGACAAGGACGCGCGACAAGAATGTAAGGGCATTGGAAGACCATGCCGACATGTTGCGAGCGGGGCGCAGCATGCGACAGAGGCCAAGGATGGCCGAAGGAGAAGGATACAAGGGGAACCATGGAAGGTTGCTCATCCTTCCTACCCAGACCCCCGACGTCGTTCGCAACGTCGACCGCAGGAGGTCTGGAGCCCTCCCCCGGGACAGGTTTTTCATCCTGGGCCGTTCTGTGACGGTTCCCGGGCCCGGTGAGGGTCCCCGGAGGCCGAAAATGGCCCACCCCCTCCCGTCGTGATATTTTCACAGCGCGATGGGGGTCTGGGTATGCGGGTAAGCCCGAGGGCTGACAGCCAGCCCGCCTCCAGGCGCCCTCTGCCTGCATGTTGAGCAGGGACAGACTGCCCAGGCCTTCCTATAGGCCTACCACATGATGTTCCTAGAACCCACAAGTGTTCTGATAACAAAAACCATGTTCTCAGAACGTAGACCCGACGTGTCAAAACAAGAAAATATCGGCCAGACATGTTCTGAAGAACATTTCGTCCAGACCTCAGACGGTTCTTAGAATCGGAGGCTGGGGGGCGAGTCCGACGTGAAACGGAAACCCAGCCTACCGGGAAATCGATTTCGGTGTCGGGTTCGTGTCGTGCGTGCCGTGCGCGCGTGTGGGCGAGGCGAAGCTGCGTGGGCGGGCGAAAGGAAATCCTCCTATGGCTGGGCCGCGGCCGGACCACATGTCAATGTTTCTCCTCCGGCGGCCAGTGGCCCGCTGGTGTCCCGAAATCCTCCTGTGGCTGGGCCGCGGCCGGACCAAATGTTTCTCCTCCGGCGGCCCGTGGCCCGCGGTGTCCCGCCGGTGTCCCGCTGGTGTCCCGAACTCCTCCTGTGGCTGGGCCGCGGCCGGACCAAATGATTCTCGTCCGGCGGCCGGTGGCGCGCGTTGTCCCGCTGGTTTCTCGAAATCCTCCTGTGGCTTGGCCGCGGCCAGACCAAATGATGCTCCTCCCGTCAAACGGTGGCCCGCGGTGTCCCGCTGGTGTCCCGCCGGTGTCCCGCCGTGGGTTGTGCATTTCACAACATCGCCGCTTGCGGCGAGCTATCCAATGCAAGTCTGCATGCAAACCGACATGCAGACCGACATGCAAACCGACATGCAGACCGTCTGCGATGTTGGCGAAGCGCGGGCCGCTGGCGTCCTTGCGGGAGGCGCTCAAGAAGTTCGAGGAGATAGCGAAAACCTCCAGGTTCGACATTATCGACATTGCGCTTCACCAACATTGTGCTTCACGGCATTGTCGAGTGCGCTTCGCCAACATCGCCACATCACATCACGCTCACGTGCACAATCACACTACTCACTAGACTCCGCCCCACAGGCATCGTCAGAACAACAATCACCACTTCTGCCCATTGCTGCCCACCCCCAACCTCCTTATCACCCGCAGGCTGGTCCTATATGTATCTTTTGGTGGGCCCATAGGCAAGCCGAGACGCCTCGCCACTTCTCGAAGGCCGTCGCCCTCTGCCTGCCCGCTGGCCGACAGCTCGCGCCCGCCCCGCGCGCCCGGCCACCCAGCTCAGGGGGGCACCGGCTCGGCGCTGCAGACCTCGCCGTCGTCGGCTTTGCCGCCGAGAAAGGCGGGCAGCGCCGCGAGCGGGAGCCCCGAGTGGGCCCGCAGGCCCTCCTCTGCGAGGCGGGGACTATTGACTATCCAGATCCGCCGCCTGGGATCGTGGATGCATCCCAGGACCCCCCCCCCCCCTCGAGATGTTTCAAAAACCACGACGGGAGTCCTTTCGGTATTCTCTGCCTCTGGGGGCCCTCGCTGGCCCTCGGGACCGTCGAACAACGACTCGGGATGGAAAACTGGTCCCAGGGAATGGGCCTGGACCTCGGGGAGTCGACGCTATGAGAAAACCATGATGTCGGGGAGCCACCGCCTGGGAACCGACGTCCTGGTGCTCGGAGGAGGAACAGGTAATTACCCATACCGCTTCCCTTCGTCCGTTTTCCCCTTTGGGGGGCTCCTTGGAGGCCCTCGTCGTTACCGTGGGATTCGCCTCGAAATTCTGGTCAACCCCGGGAGAGGTCCGGGGAGTAGCGGTATCGGTACCTCTTGACTTCCCAGGTGCCCCAGCGGGCCCTGAGCGTGGATGTATCTTAGCCCCCCGTGGGCCCGAACATGTCCATATCCACCGCCTGCCGAGGTCACTGGAAACTGATCCTCCAGGGGATGGTCAGGCATCAATTCCTGCCGCGGATCCTCGAAATCCTCGCCGAATATGCAGATCTTGCGCCGCATGGCTTCTGTGAGCATCGGCCGCACGAAGCCGAAGCAGAGCGTGAACACGCGCGGGGCCCGCACGACGGTGATGGAGGCGGTGACCTCGGGTTATGTTGTTTCCATCGTACTCAAGGACCGCATCGCAGAAACAATTTCGAGCACCCAGAGAAGTATCTAGACAATGTCGAACGAATATCGCATCCCAGGGCCCGACACGTGAGAAATTTTCAAGTTCGGTACTAAAGTAGGTTGGAGCACCATCAACCTCGGGGAAGTAGCGCTTGCCGAGGCTCAGGAACTTCTTCGACTCCGCCCGGTGCCTGAGCGCGTCCCTGCCCAGGCCGCTGCAGTCCACGATCACGCGGGCCCGCACCAGCCGCCCCTGCCGGCGCGACGCGGCGCGCCCGGCCTGCAGCAGGTCCTCCAGGTGGGCGGCGAAGGCGCCCTGCAGCCGCTCGATGAGTCCCGCACGCGCCAGGCCGTCCCAGTCGCACCGGCCCATGCTGGAGGACGAAAAAGCGGCATGCGCATCAACTTTTGGCGCGCCGCGCGGACTTCCTGGATCTGCGCCCGACCCCCCCCCCCACTGGCGCGCGGAGCGCGACAAGGGCGGCGCCGGAGGCGCCGCCAAGGGGGGCCCTGGGGACCCCCAAAAAGTACCGATACCGCTACTCCCCAGACCTCTCCCGGGGTGCCTCCCTGGGTGCATTCTGACAAGGATTCCGAAGCGAATCCACCGGCGGCGCCGAGGGCCTCCCAGGAGGCCCCCAAAAAGAGGAGCACCAGCGAAGGGTAGAGGTATGGGTACCTTAGCCCTCCTCCGAAACTCCGCGCGGAGCGCCAGAAGTTCATGCTCATGACGCGTTTTCCTCTTCGACATGCGCCACACCGCCACGGGCGCCCCCGTGCCTGGCTCCGGGGCCGAGAGCCGGCCCCAGAAGCCGTGCCTCTGGGCCAGCGCGGCCTCGTCGGTGCCAAGGCCGCGCCGCCACAGCCACGCGGTCCCGTCCGCGCCCTCCCGGCGGCTGCAGCCGTCCGCGGCGTAGCTGTCGCCCGAGCCGTGGAGCGCCATGAGGCCGGCCATGGGCAGCTCCTGACTACCTACCAGACCACCCCAGCACAGCCCGAAGACCCGAACTTCGGAGGGGGGGGGGGCTCGATATGCGTGCTTTGTCCATGTTCCCCGACCCCCCCCCCTCCCACTGGAGGTGGAGGGCAAATGGAGGCCGTCGGGTTGGGCTGGGGTGGCTTGGCGGGTGGCCAGCTCCCTGCGCCAGGCCACGGCCTCCCGGTACATCTCCTCCGCGGCGTCGGCGTCCCCGTCGCGCGCCCGCCAGAAGCGCAGCAGCGTGAGCGGGTCCGCGAGGGCAGAAGGCCAGACGAAGGCACGGGCACGGACGTCCCAGGTCGGCGCTGGGAGCCCGCTCTCCGCACCCCTTCCCCAGCGCGCGGAGCGCGGCGGGGGGGTGGCGCAGGAGGCGCCGCTCGTGATGGGCCAATGTTCAACCACCACCACAGTGTGTAGGACGAGGGAGAAGGGAGGATGGGGAGGTCCTCCTCCTCCCCCTCCTCCTCCTCCTCCTCCTCCTCCTCCTCCTCCTCCCCTTCCACCTCCTCCTCCTCCTCCTCCTCCTCCTCCTCCTCCTCCTCCCTCTCCTGCCTGTGGTAGCGGTGGCGGAAAATCGGCCCGTCAGCTCAGAGGTGTGGGGAGGAGGTTCAGCGCAGACCAAGCGGCAATATCTCGGGATCCAGAGACGAAGAACCAGTCCGAGCTGCCTCCCTCTTCGATAGGCTGAGTTCGCTGACCCCTCGGGGCTCCTCGGCGCGTGAGGCGGCTGCCCCTCCCCAGAAACCCCTCCCTGAGGAGCCTTGTCTGGCCGATGCGGAGTGGGGGGGGAGGCGCCTGCCGCGCCAGACTTGTCCAAGAGAGCCCCCTGACGGTCCACAGACGCTCCTGGACGGTCCAAGGTACGAGCCACAGATGGCCACAGCAAAGCCCCAAAGCTCCCAAGACAGCCTAAGACAGACCCCAAGAGGATGCTCAAGAAGGCGCCATGAGGCAGACATCGTTGACGTGTGCCTTTGGGATCTGACTTCCAAAGACAGTCTTTCTCCTCATCCTCCTTCTCCTCCTCCTCCTCATCCTCCGTCTCCCAATCACACTCTGCCCCGCCTTCTCACATGATACTGTCGTCACCACATGATACTGTCGTCACATGCTCGTATGTTCATATCGCCCTCTCCTCTTAGAAATAAGGATTCAACAGCACCAACAACCACCACCACCAACAGCAACAACAACAACACCAACGACACCAACAACCACATCATTAACAACAGCAGCAACAACATCCACAACAGCGACGACGACAACAACAGAAGCAGCAGCAACAAAACACATAGGAAAGGCGCCTCCCTCACGACTGGCCTGCGCGGCACCTCCGAAAATCGGCGATCGTGCCGCCTTCTGGCCTTCCGGGAGGGGCTCTGGGCCAGTGACGCCCAGCCGCGACGCCAGCTCCTCGACGCCGTCCGCCTCCTCCTGCAGTCAGAGAGCGCCGGCTGACACAAACACACACGCACACACACACACACACACACACACACACACGCGCGCGCGCACTTGTTTGCGTCGGCGAGGCAAGGGAAGTCTGCGCTAGCGGAAAGGCCTAAACGGGGGTGCCAGTGTGGCGAATTGTGCCACCATGCAAAAGGGGGAGTAGGAGGAGGGCGCGGCCGAAAGAGGGGCGGAAGAAAACGAGCCGCCCAGGGGGACAGGTCACGGCCAGCACACGCACACGCACACGCACACGCACACACACACACACACTCACTCACGCACGCACGCACGCACGCACACACACACACACACACACCTGCACACACACACACACCCGTTCACACACACACACACGCACGCACACACACACACACACACACACACACGCACGCACCCACGCACGCACGCACGCACGCCGCACACACACACACACACTCACACACGCACCACGCACGCACGCACGCACGCACGCACGCACGCACACGCACACACGCACACACACACCGCACGCACACACACTCACACCACACACCACACACTCACGCACGCACGCACGCACGCACGCACACACACACACACACACACACACGCAGACAGACACGCACACACGCACGCACGCACGCACGCACGCACGCACGCACGCACGCACACGCACACACACACACACACAGACGCGCGCGCACACACACACACACACACACGCACACGCACACGCACACACACACACACACACATCTGCACTGGTCGGGACACGGCACATCCTAGGTGCGGTGTCGGTGTCCACGCTCCTGGCCTCGGCTGGGAGGGCGCAAAAACGGACGACGAATGACAACATCAACATAAACGCGCGGAGGTCCGTGCGGATTTCTCGTGATCTGTGCCGGACCGCTGCCTGGCACGCGTAGCGCGACAGGAGCGGCGCCCGAGGCGATGCCGGGGGGAGCTCCAGCGCCGATCCGAAAACCCCGCGCAGACATCCGAAAGACTCTGCTTGTGCAGTTGTTTCCTCGCCCCACTTCTCGACCATCCTTAGAGGCCTCCTAGATGGCTTCCGAATAGCTGGGGTTGGAGGATCTCGCCGCACCGCCGATACGTCGACGATGCATCGCCGATGCGTCGGGGATGCATCGGCCATGCACTGGCGATGTCGGAGATGCATCGGCGACGTCGGCATGGAGAAAATCGTGCCCCACATCAAGCCACATCGCTGATGCATCGCCGATGCATCGGCGATGCGGTGCCATCCTCCGACCCCACCTACTCCGACCCAATATGGGAGGCCTAGAGTTGTTTCCTCGACCCACTTCTAGACCATCCTGCGCACGGACGCCGCTTCTGTCGGGGAGACGTAAGACTCGGGTAATTACGGGGGACTCGGCTTGGCCTGACGGGGCCGCCATGAAAATACCGAAACCAAGTCTGAAAACTGACGCGAATTCCGGCTGCAGACATCCCACGAAAACTGGACCGTCACAACCCAGGACGCGCTCGTCAACGCCGCTTCTGGACCCCTGGCAGATACGCAGCGGGGGTGCGTGCGCGCCCACCGATACACCGAGCTCGGCAGGCTCCGACCCCTGCGCCTGGCAAGGGGCCAGTGCAGGGTGCAGGGCATGCAGAGGGCGTCCGAGTCCTCCGATCGCCGATGCCGCCAGCAGAAAGTAGGTGGTTGGTTTTATGTTGTTCCCATCGTACTTAAGGACCACATCCCCCAATCATGTTTCGAGCACCCAGAGAAGTATCGAGTATCGCCTCCCAGGACCCGCCACATGGAAAAACCATCCAGTTGCGGCGCTTTCATTGGTGATCGGAATTCTTTCTGGTGGTCAAGGCTACAGCAGCTTGGAACATCTTAAGGTTGGCTGGGGACCCTTTGTGCCTTCGGGGCCCGAGCCGAGGGCTCAGAGGGCGCAGTCCTGCCTACAGCGGCAGGCCCCGCCCGCTGCGGCCGCACCGCCCCCCGGCTCACACCAGCAAAGCGCCTGCCGCCGGCGCAGCGGCGTGGTGCCGATCCTCGTTGACCTCCTCCACGTACTTCGGCCACCACCACGACGACAATCGCGCCGACGCCCTCGCCCGCGACGGCGGGCCCGTGCCCGCGGGCCCGGCCGCGGCGGCGCGCGCGGCACGGCGGCGCTCGCCCTCCTCCTGGGCGAGCCGCCGGAGGCCCGGCGGCGCGGTGGCTGCCGCGTGCACGGCCCGCCCGCCCACGAGGGTGCCCCAGACCGTGAGGCGGAGGAGCTGCGGCGGGTCGACCGTCATCACGTCGCGGTCGAAGAGGGTCAGGTCGGCGTAGAAGCCGGGCCGGAGCGCCCCCAGGCTGCGCTCCCGGAATGAGTAGGGGGCCACATGCGAACCCTACCCCTACCCCTACCCCTACCCCCCCACCCTCCCCCTCAGAAATCGTGGGGGGTAGGGGTAGGGTTCGCATGTGGACCCCTAATGAGGCGTAGGCCGCGTCCGTGGTGTAGCCCCTGAGCGCCTGCTCCCGCGTGACGCGCTGCTCTGGGAACCAGCCTCCGGCGGGGACGCCCCCCGGCGTCTCGCGGGTCACGGCCGCGTGCAGTCCGAGGAGCGGCGGCACGGAGCCCGCCGTGGGGAAGTCCGAGCCGAAGGGCAGCGCCGGGACGCCAGTGCGGAGCAGGCTCGACCACGCGTAGCTCCGGGACGCACGCTGGAAGCCCAGCCTCTGCACCGCGTAGGGCAAGTCGGAGGCGCAGTGGGAGGGCTGCATGGACGCGATCACGCCGAGCCGCGCGAAGCGCGGGAGATCCTCCGCGGCAAGGATCTGCGCGTGCTCCACGCGCCACCGCGCCTCGTCTGCGGGCCGCCCTGCGAGGAGTTCCTCGTAGACGTCTAGGACCTGACGGTTGGCGGCGTCCCCGATAGCGTGCGTTGCGACCTGGTAGCCTCTGGCCGCCCACGCGCTCACATTCCTCTTGAAAGCCTCGCGCTCGTAGACCAGGGTGCCGGTGGAGTTCCGGTCGTCGTAGGGCTGCAGCATGGCGGCAGACCAGCTCCCCATGGCCCCGTCCCCGAAGAACTTCACCGTGCGCACCGTCAGCAAGCCGTCGTCGGTGGCCACCATGGGGTCGGTTGGGGAGCTGGTCGTCGAGTCACGCGCGGCGTACACCCGGAGCGACAGCTCGCCGCGGGAGTGGCGCTGCAGCAGCGCGTCCACGTCCTCCCCATGCGAATCCATGTCGTGGACGCCGGTGAGCCCGTGGGCCGCCAGGTCGCGGAGGAGCTCGTCCATGACCTGGCGCGCCGCAGCCTCGGGGAGCTGCGGGAGTTGCCGCTCCACCGCGTCCTTGGCGCGGTCGGTGAGGACCCCGGTGGGCCTGCCGTGCCCGTCGCGCTCCACGTGGCCGCCCGGGGGGTCGCCGCTCGCCGGGATGTGCGCGGACATGGCCGCCAGCGCCCTGCCGTTCAGCCAGGCGGCGTGGCCGCTGAGCTGCTCCAGGAACACGGGCGTGTCCGGGAAGAGCTCGTCCAGCGCCGCCCTCGTCGGGAACGCGCCGCCTGGCCACGCCGTCTGGTCCCAGCCGAACCCGAGCACCCAGCCCCCGCTGGCGTTCACGAGGTCGGGCCGCCGCGCCGCGAAGTCGGCCGCGGCCCGCGCCGCCTCGGGCGCCGAGCGCGCCTGGCGGAGGTCGGCGCGGGTGCGCCTTGCGGGCACGACTTGAGTCCGTATCCACTGCAGCTTGGAGTTGCGTTGAAGCCCATGGCGCACTGGATGCGGACAAATATCTGGCCCCTGGAGGCTCGATGTTTACCGACACCCTGTGCGCCCCGGCCCTGCGGCGCTCCTTCCAGGAAAGCCCAAGACGCACAGGACATGGATACGACTCTCGCCCGCACGCCTGGCCGCCTCCATGTTCAGGTGCGCGTGCGAGTCGGTGAGCCCCGGCACCACCGTCGCGCCCAGCAGGTCCACCGTCCGCCCCGCGCCGGCCGCGGCCGCGCACTCGGAGGCCCCCACCAGGCGCTCGCTGCCCACGGCCTCGATGCGCCCGCCCCGCACGCAGAGCGCGGAGGCAAGGGGCGCCTCTGGAGGCCTCCCGGGTGGGGCCCGAGCAGGTGGAGTCGGAAGATCGCGCCACACCGCCGATGCACCGCCGATGCACCGGCGACGCATCGGCGATGCATCGGTGATGCATCGGCGATGCATCGGCGACGTCGACGTGAAGCAGATTGGGCTGCACATCCAGCCGCATCGGCGATGCGGCACGATGCTCCGACCCCATCTGCTCCGGCCCCATCTGGAAGGCCTGCAACCTAACCAGATGCGAACTCATCTCTATCCCTAAGATGGACAAGCCAAACGCGATGACAATCGCAGGGACGTGCCCGCAGAAACTGCGGCAATCCTAAACATCGTCCCTGGGGGAAGGTCATGCCAGACATAGGGATGATTAGGGATACATGTCGGTCGGAAGAAGTAGGTAGAAACATGAAGTAGGAAAGCGGATATAGTAGACTGGGCCCAGGCCCTCCCAGAGAAAAACAAGCCACAGCAAAAGCATATCGATTCTGGAAGTAGGAAGGCGCTTGAAGTAGATTGGGCTCTGGGAATCCAAAAATACCTGCTCTCAACGACTGGCGTGCATGCTTCACACTCGTGAGGGCCTCCTGCACCATCGTGTAGATGGTGCCGTTGTGGAGGACGAAGGCTTCGGGCGAGCCTCCCGCCAGCCCGCGGCCCGCTAGGCCCAGGGCCAGGGGCAGCCACGCTCTGCACCGCCCCGCGCCGCGCCGCATGGCCGCGGCACGGCCGCCCGCGCCGCCGCGGGCTGTGCAGGCACGGTCGCCGCCGCGGCCTGAGCACGGCCGCGCCCAGAGCTCCGACGGTGCGAGCCCTCGGTGTCTGGCCGCCTGGATCGCCGCGGTGGTCGCCTAGAAGGGGCGCAGGGGGGGGGGTAGAAGGAGATGCGAAAGTGGGCTTTGCCTGGCCTGACCCCGCACGTGAGTGGGTTACAGAAGTGCCCTGTGTGGCTCAGGCTGATGCGGCAACTTCGCGAAGTGGGCTCCGCCCACTCAGCCCAGATCCGTGCGCCCGGAAGCCACTTCGGGCACGTGCAATCCACTTCTGAGCTGGATTAGGCTGGGTGGAGCCTACAATGGAAATATATGGTAAGGACGGGCGATAAGGACGCAAGGGCCTTGGATGCCGAACTTGTCACTTTGGGCGGCGAACTACCAACACCCTGAAAGGCCAGCCAGTGAAAGCCGCGAAGCACGGGCCGCAGAAGCAAGGACGCAAAGATACCCTAAAGACGTCCGTGCGCACTAATCAGGGGCGCGCAAACATGGATTAGCGATCCATGGATTTGGCGCGCAGTCACCAAATCCATGGATCGGGAGAGGTGCCCTCTCCAAAATGCGGCCAATGCCGCCTCGTTCGGCGGCGGAAATATCCGCGATTCCCCATGGAAACGGGGCCCGTCGCTAATCCACGCCCCCTTGATCCATGTTTGCGATCGCCTGAACTAACTTTGGGTGTCGACTGTACCTCTGCATCGACTTTGTGCCCCCCCTTCTCCTCCTGGCAACCCCCGCGGCGATCCAGGTAGCAGAGCGTGCGAGCTGGCGAGCGGCAGCGAGCCCGCGGCCGCCTCTCGCCCAGCTCTCGGGCCTCGAGCCAAAACAACTGCGGACGGCTGGCTGGCTGGGGACGGCTGGTGGATCCAACGAGAGACAAGTGCCCATCGGTCGGACGAAGTCAGCAAGAAACAGGAGGTAGAAAGGCGCCGACAGGGGACTGGGCTTCCGCCCGGCCCCTGAAGAGGAGGGAAGAGGGACAACCGTTCGACTCTTGAAGTAGGAAGGTGCCGAACATGGATGGGAATCTGGGGATCCGGCGTACTTTCTTCAATGACCGACGGGTAGTGCCGTTGCGAATGTCCTGTAGACTCTGTACTCCGCAATCTTGTTGGCCCTGGGCGCTGACAGGCTCCGATTATTGAGTCCCGAAACGGTGCGGTGACTGACCGTGCGGTGACCTCGAAATCCCCAAAGACCTCACCGCACGGTCCGTCACCGCCCGGGTTTTGGGACCCTGGAGGCCCCTGTCGCCCGAGCTTTCCTCGGCGAGGGACCCGAGCCCCAAAAACCGTGCGGTGACCCCGAATCCCCACCGGTCCACCGCACGGCGTGGCCACCACACCGTCTGGGGGCCTCCGACCCGAGGCCCACACCTTTTTTTATCATCTCTTTGGACGCCCGAAATGGGTACGGAAAGAATGGGCACCATGCCCAACAACAAATGTTGTCCCAAGCCAACAGCGGCCGCTGTTGGGCAGGCGGCCTTCTGTCTCGAATGGACACAGGCCGCGGCGGCGTGGGCAGCGAATCCCGTTCAAAATGAACAGGAATTGCTGTTGGGCATTGTACCCATTCTTTCAGTACCCATTTCGTGCGCGCAGATAAGAAGAGGCGCCATGAAATCTGGGAAGGTATGGTGGCCCCCGCCATGAGATCCACCCCCACTCCTGGTCATCCGCCCCCCTCTTTTCCGCCCCCGATGCAGGCACGCCAGGACGCTTCGCCACTGCTTGCCTCCCAGATTCAGGGGGACGTAAGACCTGGGTACAGGGGACTCGGAAATCCCCGACGAGGTCGTCAAAAAAATGGACAGTACCCATTTCGGGCGTCCAGAATCTCGGAGGTGCGCCTGCCGGGCAGCCCGGCAAGCTCCGGGCACAGGCGAACCGGGCCTTGCCACCGCACCGCCACAAAAACGGACGAGGGGGCATGCAGCGGGCGCCCTCCGCTCGCCGCGGCCGCCAACAGAAGCGCGCGAGGCCGACGAAGGAAACACGAGGCGAGATGCAGATCTCAAGATTGAAGGGGCCCTGGGACACACAAATAAATACACACAAATAAAAGGATTCCCCATATTTTCCCATATTTTCTGGGTTTTTGTCTTCCCCCCCACTTCCCATATTTTCCCATATTTTCTGGGAGATCGACGATTAATTGTGTCTGTGTGTTTTTTCCCCTCCTGAAAGATACATAGCGGCCAGGGCTGGACCTAAACGTTGTGCTTCCTTCTGGTTTCGCTTTGCTTTTCGTTCTGCTCTACCTCTGTTCCTGATGCTCCCTGCCAAAACGAAGAACAAAACACGGCCGAGATCCAGCAAAACAGCGTTTGGGTCCAGCCCTGATAGAGGCCTCCCAGATGGAGTCGGAAGATCTCGCCGCATCGGCGATGCATCGGGGATGCATCGGGGATGCACCGGCGATGCTCCGGCGATGCATCTGCGATGCATCGGCGATGCATCGGCGACGTCGGCGTGAAGCACATCGGGCTGCGCATCCACAAGCATCGGCGACGCATCGGCTATGCGGCGCGATCCTCCCTCCGACCCCATCTGCTCCGACCCCATTAGGGAGACCTCGAAGCACGTGAGGCAAACGAAGGAAACACGAGACGGGATGGGGATCTCAAGACAGCACGGGCCGGGCAGGGAGCGCAGGCACCCAGAGGGGTTTGGGCCACGAGACCTGTACCATCGGTCTGAAGAAGTAGGCAGAACCATGGAGTAGGAAGGCGTTGGAAGTAGACTGGGCTTCCGCCCGCCTTCTGAAGAGGAGGCAGGAGGGACAGCAGCTCGACTCTTGAAGTAGGCAGGCGGCTAGAGCAGATTGGGAATCTGGGGATCCAACCATACATGCTGCCCATGACCGATGGGTACACGTCCTCCCTGCCCCCCTGGACAGGCCCAGGATTGCCGCTTGTCTCCCTCCACGCACACGCCCTCCTGGCTCCGGCGGGGCGGGCACGCACACCACCCGTCCTGGGCCCCGGGGCTCCAGCCCGGCCAGGAGCGGTGCCGTCGGCCGCACACCAGCTGGCGCCCTACCGCTGCCCAGTCATCGGACGCTGCGCCGTCCGATGGTGTGCTCGTGGCGCTCGTCGTGATCGTTCTCGCTGTGGCCGTCGGGACCGCCGTGATCGTTGTCGTGGCGATCCGTGTTACCGCTGTCGCTGTGATCGCCGTCGATCGCCGTCGAGCGCCGTCGAGCGCCGTCGGGCGGTGTCGATCCTCGTCGAGCGTTGTCGATCGCTGCTCGTGGGCATCTGCCGGTGTGCCTTTCTTCGGCGCGCGGCCCCGAGGGGGCCCCGACGCCCCTCGCGAGGGGGGGCCTGCTCGGACGTGGCCCCCCTGGGCCCGACCGCGGGTGCCCGGAGGCCGGAAGCGAGGAGCAGACAAAGCACAGCACTTGGCGGCGCGCACAGGTCGAGTAGGGGATCGACTGCAGCAGGAGCTCGAGCACAAGGAGGTTTCCACAAGAAACCGAGCCCTGAGACCCCAGGGCGTCCATGAACTTTCGGTATGGGGACGTCGCGCTGTCCATAGCAGAACCATCGAAACCCAAGAAACCCAGGGCATCCCGGAGGCGAGCAGGGTGTTTCTTGGCATGGATTTCCACTGCAGGGGATCGACTACAGAATTGATGTACCCGAACTTCATTTCCTCGTCGAGCCTGCAACAAATACGCAGCATGCCACCAGATCTGCGAACACCCTGCGCATTTTGATTGCGCATTCGACGAGAAAACCAATTCTGATGTAAACCAGTTCTGTAGTCGATCCCCCACTCGAACAGTGGGGTAGGGGGAGGGGGGAAGGCTTCTTAGAAGGAAGCTGCTTCTCGGAAGGCGCGCTCTTCATCTGCAGCAAAGTCCCGCACCTTCTCAGAAGCAGGGGTGCTTCTCAGAAGCCTTCCCCCTCCCCCTACCCCCCTCCGGGCGTGACCGAAATACACGGCAAACCAGCAGTTCGTCGGAGACCCTGGGTCGGGGATCTTCTGACCTGGATCAATCCAGGCCCAGGGCAGTCGTGCTTTGCATCCTCCTGCAAAACGCTGCTGGATCCTGCAGGATCCTGTACCAAAACCCGGATCAATGCGACCCTGGCTCTGCAGGATCCTGCAAGATCCGGCGCTCTGACTAACCCCATTTGCATTGACCCCCGACTCTTGAGCCCCGACTCCCGCCCCAGGCCCCCGACATCGTCATTTTTGCGCAACGTCGAACCCCAGAGGGCTGGACCCATTCCTGGCCCCGGCTTTTCGTCCTGAGGCGTTCTTTGGCGGTCCTGGGGCCTGTTGAGGGCCCCCGGAGGCCGACAACAACGAAAAACCTCCCGCCGTAAAATGTTTCACCTTCCGCTCTGACTGACTTCCGTCCCTGAGATCCGGCGTTGCGAAAAAATGCACCATCACACAAAGCACGACAGGAGACCCGGATCACATCTTTCTGCATAATTTTTCGAGCCGGATCGATCTGTGAGGGTCTCGGGGCCCGAGACGGGGTGACAACGCCCGCTGTGAAAAAGCTGCAACGCCAGGATCTCAGGGGCTTGCACCGACCCCCGTCTCTAAAAGAGCAGGAGGAGGAGGAGAAGAAATGGAGGAGGAGGAGGAGGAGGAGGAGGAGGAGGAGGACGAGAGGGAGGAGGTGGAGGTAGAGGAGGAGGGAGGGAGGAGGAGGAGGAGGAGGAGGGAGGGAGGAGGAGGAGGAGGAGGAGGGAGGAGGAGGAGGAGGAGGAGGAGGAGGAGGCCCGGCTGGGGCTCTCCTGCGGCACGCCGGCCTCCACCAGGGCCGCGGGCGAGCAGAGCCTGCCGCGGGAGCCGCCCCTTGCCACGCGGCCGCCGCCGGGGCGGCGCGCGGGGGCGCCGCCCGCGCGGTCCGAGGGCGGGGACGCGGAGGCCCGGAGGCCTGCGCCGTGCTGCTTGGATCGCCGCGGGGGCTGCTGGGGGGATCTGCTGGCCAGAAGGAGTCCTGAGAGATCCTGGCGTGGATTTGTTTTGCTTCACGACGGGCGTTTTCGCTCGTTCTCGGGCCCCGGGACCCTCACAGGTCGATCCGGCTCGAAAAATGACACAGAGAGATGGGGTCCAGAGCTCCAGTCGCGATGGTTCACGATGCTGGTTTTGTTCGCAACGTCGGATCTCAGGAAATGCCCTAGGTTATATCTGTCCGATCCTAAACTATACACGGGCCACACGGGCCCTAGGTGGTTTGGGGCGATGAGATAACTCCGCTAAGTGGGCTCCGCCTACGCTGCCCGGATATGTACGCCCGTAAGCCGCTTGGAGCATGTGCCACCCACTCATAAGCTAGGTTCAGCCGGACACATCCGACCTTGGCATCCAGTCCTAGCCCCCGTGCATCCCTTCAGCAACCCCCGCGGCGGTCCACGTAGGCCTCGCAGATGGGGTCGGAGTAGAGTCCCAGACCCCCATCGCGTCGTGGAGAGGTCTGGCGACTGGAGGTGTTTCGCTATCTTCAGCCTCCGGGGCCCTCACTGGACCCCGAAACCGTCAGAAAACTCGGGGATGGACAGACCTCCCTTTAGCAAACCGTGGTTTAGTGAAAACGACCCTGGGCCCAAACCTGGCGGGCGCAAGCCTGGAAAATAACGGCCGCGGCGCAGTCTCGAGAACCGAAAAAGGACAATTCACTAATCGACGTGTCAGGGTGGGAGGTCTGTCCGCCCCCGAAGAACGACCCACCACATCCGGGAGGAGGAGGAGAAGGAGGAGGAGAAGGAGGAGGAGGAGGAGAACAAGGAGGAGGAGGAGGAGTTGGAGGAGGAGGAGGAGGAGGAGGAGGAGGAACGCCCTCGAGTGCCACGACGAAAAACTGGTCCTCCTGGGGGGGGGTCCAGACCTCCGGGGGCCGACGCTGCGAACGACAAAGACGGCGTCGGGGGTCTGGGGAGACAGAACAGAGACCCTTCAAGACCATGGGACCCTCCGCTGGCCAAAACACCCCAAACTTTTTTTTTGACATCCACGTCAACACCTCCACATCCTCGGGTGAGAACCGAGGTCCAGAGCCAGCAGCGGAGGGGGATGCTGGCTCCCAAAAACACCCCAAACCATAATCTACTACTCGACGGCGTACCCTCCCCCAGGACGTACAAGAACAGCCAGCAGGCACGAAGAACAGTAGGGCACCCTCCCCGAGCCGACCTCGACCGTAGACCTCGGTCCGACAATGGATGGGGTCGGAGGATCGCGCCGCATCACCGATGCATCGGCGATGCATCGGCGATGCGGCTCGATGTGGAGCCCGATGCCTGTATGGAGGAGGCGCAATGACAAGGACAAGAAGATGTGGGCGAGCATCGCCGATTCATCGGCCGATGCATCGGCGACTAATCGGCGCGATGCATCGGCGCCGCATCGGCGATGCATCGGCGATGCGCCTTCATCTCCTCGTATGGGGGCAAAGACAGGAAGAGGAAGGCGCTGTGGGTATGGGTGCGGGCTGTCGGACCCCCGACGGGGGCTCCCACGCCCCAGCAGGCCGCACCGTAGGTCCCAAGACTGGGTCCGCGGGAGGAGGCGTGGGGTGTCCGCCCCGCATGGCTCTCCCGAAGCGGGGTCGGCCAGAGGGGAATCAATGGTGGACTTGTTTTCCACCGCCACCACCAAAAGTAGGAGGGGGTGGGGGTACCCCTCCTCCTCCTCCTCCTCCACCTCCTCATCCTCCACCTCCTTCCCCCCTCCAACTTCTGGTGGTGGTGGTGGTGGAAAACAGGCCCATCATTCAGAGGAGACTGGCTGACACTGGTTCGCGCTGACCCCCACTTGTTTGGAAGAAGAAGACCCTCCACCTCCGCGGAAGGTGCGGAAAAACTCATCGAAACTTTATGGAAACCTCATGCAATTCAAAGAAACCCACATAGATCAGATCGAAAAAGGATCGGAAAGTTAGGGCGGAAGGTCGGGAAAAATGAGGGGGAGAAGAAGCGGCATCGACATAAACGGTCGACGGTCTGGCAAAGTTCTTGGATCTGCGCTGGACAGCCCGCGCCAGGGACGGCGCCGGAGGCGCCGCCAGAGGGACCAGGCGCAGATCCAAGAACTCCGCGCGGACCGTCGAAAGTGCATGTCTATGAGGTCTGTTCTTCCCCGATCATCGCGCGCACCCCAGCGAGGCATGTGGGCGCAGGCCTCCCGGCCCTGAGGGGGCGCCGCCGCGGGCGGCGGCGGCGACGATAGAAGAAGAAAGAACGGCATGCGCATAAACTTTTGGCGCGCCGCGCGGATTTCTCGGATCTGCGCTGGACCCCCCCCCCCCTCACTGGCGCGCGGAGCGCGCCAGGGGCGGCGCCGGAGGCGCCGCCGGGGGAGGCCCAGCGCGGATCCGAGGAGGAGGAGGAGGAGGAGGAGGATGGAGGAGGAGGATGGAGGAGGAGAGGAGGAGAGGGAGGAGGAGGAGAGGAGGAGAGGAGGATGAGGAGGAGGAGGAGGAGGGAGGATGGAGGAGGAGGAGGAGGAGGAGGAGGAGGAGGAGGAGGAGCGCCACGGAGCGCCAACAGCTCATGTTCGTGCCCCTGTTTCTCCTCCGAGACGAGGGCGACGCAGGCCCCCTCCGCGCACAGCAGCAGCACCCACAGGCGCCAGGGGGCGCCCAGCACGGCCGCGGCCCACGAGGCCAGGGCCACGCCGCAGGCGGCGTGCACCAGGGCGCGCAGCTCGCCCGCGCCCGCGCCCATGGCCGGCGGGGCGGCCACGGCCTGGGCAGGGCGCCCTGTCGGCAGGAGCGCCAGGGCTACGGAGCCTGGCCTGGGGAGAAGGCGAGGAGGGGCCCGCGAGGCCTGGCCTGGAGATCCAGACCCCCTCGCGTCTTCAGAAACAAATCGCGACGGGAGGTTCGTCGCCAGTTTCGGCCTCCGCGGGCCCTCACTGGTCCTCGGGAGCGTCAAAGATCAACTCTGGATCAAAAACTGGTCCCGGGGAGAGAGCCCAGACCTCTGGGGGTCGACGCTGTGAACAAAATCACAACGTCGGGGGCCTGGGGGCGCGCTACGCCCTCGGAGATCTATACTGACACGGGGGGAATCCAAACCCGGGCCGGTCCGTCCTTGCAGGATCCTGCAGATGGGGTTCCTAGATGAGGTTCGAGTAGATGGGGTCGAAGGACCGCGCCGCATCGCGCCGATGAATCGCCGATATATCGGCGACGTGGGCGATGCATCGACGACGTCGGCGTGAGACAAATCGGGCTCCACATCGAGCCACATCGCCAATGCATCGGCGATGCGGCGCGATCCTCCGACCCCATCTACTTGGACCATCTGGAAGGCCTAGCCCGGGTCAGTGCGACCCTGGCTCTGCAAGATCTGGCGCTCTGGCTGACCCCCGCTCGCACTGACCCCTGTCTCTTGAGCCCCGACTCCCGCCTGCAGGCCCCCGACGTCGTGATTTTTGTTCGCAGCGTAGACCCCCAGAGGTCTGCGTCTGGACCCCTTCCCCGAGACCAGTATTTTTCATCCCGAGGCGCTTTTTGAAGGTCCCAAGGCCCGGTCAGGGCCCCCGGAAGCCGAAAACAGCAAAGAAACAAAACCCTCCCGTCGTAAAATGTTTCACCTTCCGCTCTGACTGACGTCCGTCCCCGAGATCCGACGTTGCGAAACAAATCCCGACATCGCAAAAAGCACGACCAGAGTCCCGGACCCCATCTTTCTGTACTCCAGATTTCGTAATAAAAGGGAGGGGGTCTCATTTCGGGGGGGGGTCTCTTCCAGGCTATCTTGGAGGGCCTGGGGGGGTCTGGGGACGATGTTTTGGAGGGTTCTCCCACGGGGGGGGTCTGAGATGGCCTGTCTTGGAGGGTCCAGACCCCCTCCCTTTTATTACGAAGTCTGGAGTATCATTTTTCGAGCCGGATCGATCTGTGAGGGTCCTGGGACCCGGAACGGAGCCAAAACGCCCGCTCTGAAAGAATTGCAACGGCAGGATCTCAGGCGCTCGTCTTGACCCCCGCCTCGTGAGCCCCCACGGGGGCTCTCCGGCGGCACGCCCCGACGCGTGGGATTTTGTGCACAGCGCGAGGGGGCCCGGGCGGGGGCCAGGCCCCGGGGGGCCTGGGCATGGCCTGCGAGAGGCAGGCGCCGGCGGGCGTGTTCCTGGCCAGGCGGGGCGGGCTCTGGGGCTACACGCAGTGGGGAAGGCCCGCACGTGGATCGCCGCGGTGGTTGCCGAGGGGATGGGCCAGAAGCGGATGCCAGAAGGTGGGCTTGCTTCTGGCCTCACCCAGCCTATTACAAGTCGGCTACACGTGCCCGAAACATGTGGCTCGGGATGATGAGGTAGCTCCGCTCAGTGGGCTCCGCCCACTTGACCCAGATATGTGCGTCCTTACGCAACTCAGGGCACGTGCAACCCAACTCTGAGTTGGGTCAGGCCAGATCGAACTAGAACCCACCTTGGCATCCACTTGCATCCCCCTATCATCTCAGAACCCCCCGCGGCGATCCAAGTGGAGTGTCAAGCCCAGCTCCCCTCGCTCTGTGAAAAAATGTGGGATCCAAAACCCGGGTAGCGGAGCGCCAGAAGGCCTTCCAAAGGCCTGGGGGAGGACTCTGTTGAAAGCTCTTGGGAAGAGCTTCCGAAGAAGCTTCTGGAGAGCTTGTCGGCTCACGCTTGGGAAGCAGTTAGAAAAGGCCTGCCGTGTGACACGCTTCAACTTCAAGCAACCTGCAGCGGCGCTGGAACACGGAAGCCAGAACGAGCTCTGGGGCCACCCTGCGGTTGGTTTCTGATCTGAAACCCTCCTAGCTCTCAGGAGAGCTATCCGGGAAAATCACGACGGGGGGGTTGCACAATTTTCGGCCTCCGCGGGCCCTCACCCAGCCTCGAGACCGTCAAAACACGACTCTGGATGAAAAACTGGTCCCAGGGAAGGGGTCCAGACATCTGGGGGTCAACGTTGTGAAAAAAAGCTACGGAGTCGGGCATCTGGGAAGCGAATCCACTCCAGGCCAAATGCTGGGGCCCCTCGGTCCGCACGGGCACTGTCTGGAGGAGTGATACCTGGTGGACCTGGCGTGGTCCGATGTGTGTCTCAAGGAGGGGTGAATGTGCTTAGAGTGGGACGCTCTTGCGTAGACCTCGCAAGCATCTGACCAATACTGGAAACAATAAGCAAAACTTCTTAAACTGGACTTGCGGTACGCGCCTCAACACAAATCCGAATCACTCAGCTATGACGAACGCCACGGGCACATGCCATTGAAACTGTCGGGAACGGTGCTCTCGCGCACTGGCTACGCCTGCAGAAACCGGCCAGGGGCCATGCCGCATCCTGTTTCCGACTCCTACCGCAGTGAACATCATATCGGTGACGAGGATGCCACGGGTTGGAGGCGCGCACACGGGGGTGGGGGGAGGGGGGGAAGGCTTCTTAGAAAGAAGCAGGGCTGCTGCTAGAAACGCCTTCCCCCCCCCCCCTTGCCTCCCTCTGCGCGTGGCCGACTTCCGCGCAGCCGGCGACGGCACCGAGCAGCAGCCCGGGAGGAACTCGAGAAGCCGGCACCCCGGCGAGAGACACCGCCAGCTCGGCGGAGGGTCCCTCTCGCGCCCCCCCACCCCGGCTTGCTGCCCTCGGCCGGCGGGCCGGCGTCCCAGGGGCCCGCGGGGCGGGAGGAGGATCGGTGGCTGGTGCCGTGGGCCCAGGCCCCCCGACGTCGTGATTTTTGCACGGCGCCGACCCCTCGAGGCCTGCCCAGATGGTCTGGTACCGGAAATTTTCGGTAGCGATTTTGACGCACCCCGAATTTCGGTAGCGACCGGATCTTCGTTTGAGAGATTGAAATAGCGGATTTCAGAACGGTCTGATACCGATATTGGGCGCTACATTTCGGTATTTCGGTAGCGACCGATCTCTGCGGAGCGCTACCGGAAATTTTCGGTAGCGGACCATCAGGGTGGACCCCTTCCCCGGGACTGGCCGTTCACCCCGCGAGCCGTTCTGTGGACGGCCCCGCGGCCCGGCAAGGGTCCCCGGAGGCCGACGAGAACGACCAACCTCCCGCAGTGACTTCTGCGTCACGGCGCGAGGGGGCCTCGGGGACTCCTGCCGCAGCGAACCAAACACCGGCGACGAGGGCCACCAAGGAGAGCCTGGCCAGCCGGGCCGCCCGAGGGCCCGCCCGCCCGTGTACAGCGTACGACTGCAAGGCCCGGCCGCACGCGTCCAATTAAGGGGGCCGCGTGCGTGTGCCGAGGCCTCTCCTGGGCGCAGGGCCCGCCCGTCGGCCCGCCACGGGTCAGCCCGCCGGCCCGCCCGCCCCACTGCAGGCCCCGCCCAGCAGCAGCGCCTCTCGAGGGCAACGGACCATGGCATAGACATAAAAACTCGGAGGTCCGAGCGGATTCCTCGGATCCGCGCTGGACAACCCCTGGCGGCGCCTCCTGCACCGTCATGTGAGTTTGCAGCTCAGAGTGCTGTGGCCAGGTGGGCTCGGCATCTGCGCAGCGTGCAACGGTGTGCTGGCCGCGTGCATTCCCAACCTCGAGGCCGACATCGAGGAGCAGCTGAGAAGACTCAAGCGTGTTGGCAAGAGCCCGGAAGCCGGGCCGCCCCACTTGTCAAACCAGCGGCGCGCAGGGTCCTCAGTCCCCGCCTCCTTCCTTGTTTCCTCCCTCCCCTCCCCCCCCCTCTTTCCTTCCCTCCGCCCAATCAGTGTTTGAAGTCTGCTCACGTGGAGTTTCCATCTGGCCTCAAACGAGGACGCATTTGAAGTGCCCACCTGCACGGGAATTCAGTGTCCTACGCGCCCCCGGGTGTATGACTGCATTGCTGTTGTTGTTATTGTTGTTGTTGTTGTTGTTGTTGTTGTTGTTGTTGTTGTTGTTGCGCAGGGCCCCCAGGCGCGAGCAGCAGATGCAAGCTCGATATGTTGCGACCGAGCGTACTTGTCGGTAGCGCAGCGTGCGAGCGTCGCACGCGGCAACCTCGGGCCGCCCCATACGCACGTCGGGCCGGGAGAGAAGGAATATACACAAATCGCCGCAGGGGTGGCCAAGAGGATGGCTGGGGGGGGGGGGGGCCGGGAGAGAGTGGGGGGGGGGAGAAAAGGGGGAGGTGGACAGGAGAGAGGGGGGGACAGGAGAGAGGGGGGAGGGGAGGGGAGAGGAGAAAGGGGGGGGGGAGGGACAGGAGAAAGGGGGGGGGGGACAGGAGAGGAGGGGGATTTGGGGGGGGGGGGGGGCGGGATCATCACCATCTCCATCACCATCACCATCACCATCGTCACTTCACCACCAGCATCATCATCACCAGCATCAGCAGCAGCATCAGCAGCATCATCAGCATCATCATCATCACCACCACCACCACCACCATCCTCCTCCTCCTCCTCCTCCTCCTCCTCCTCCTCCTCCTCCTCATCATCATCATCATCATCATCATCATCATCATCAGGAGCGCCCCGGATCGGCGGCACTGGCCAGAGGCCACTACAATATACATAGATCGCCGCCAGGGTGGCTAAGAGGATGGTTAGGGGGATGCAAGTGGATGCTAAGGTGGGTTCTATCTGGCCTAACCCAACTTAGGAGTGGGTTGCACGTGCCCTAAGGGGCTCAAGGGCGTACAGATCTAGGCCCACTGGGCGGCGCCAACTTCGCGGAGTTGCCCCGTCATCCTAAGCCACATGGGGCACTGGTAACCGACTTGCAATTTTGGTTAAGCCAGGTAAACCAAACTTTAGCATCCACTTCTAGCCCCCATCCCCTTCACAACCACCGCGGCGATCCAAGTGGCACAGAGGAGGAGGATACCACAAAGAGGGGGGGCATAGCGAATCGGCTGCACGCAGCTGGCTCTCCTGGCACCTCCACGGCGCCGCGGACGGCCATGCATCGAGGGGGAGGCCTGGCAGCGGAGTTGCAACCGGCTGCGTGCAGCAAACGTCGCAACCCTCCTCCCCCTCCTCCTCCTCCTGCTCCTCCTGCTCCTCCTCCTCTCCTCCTCTTCCATCACCACCTGCTCCTCCTCCTCCTGCTGCTCCTCCCTCCTCCCCCCTCCCTCCTCCTCCTCCTCCTCCTCCTCCTCCAGCTCCTCCTCCTCCTCCTCCTCCTCCTCCTCCTCCTCCTCCTCCTCCCGGCAACATGAAGGACTGGTCTTGAAGAGAAGGAGTCCTGGAAAGGTGTCGCCGCTTTCGGGGCCCATGGGGCCCTCCACGGGCCACAGCACCGTCGAACAACGACTCGGGACGAAGAGCTGGTCCCGGGGGAAGCCCGGCATACTGGAGCCCAATTCCCACAGGACTCCTTGGCACGCCCGACAGTGGCACGGAGAAGGTGCGCACGATGCCCAAAACTGGCAGCGGTCTCCGTTGGGCAGGCGACCCGTCGTTGTCAAGTGGGCAACGCCCGCAGCGGCACCGGCAGCGAATCCTACTCAAGTAGGGCAGGGACAGCCGTCAGTCCTGGTCCACTTTCTCCCCGTAATTACCCATCTCCATCGTACCATGACCCTTTCCTTCATGGCGCCCCCCCGTTCCCGTTCCTTGGGGAGCAAGTGGGCACCCCCCTCCCCACCTGGCCACCCCTCCCCAGGGGAAGGGGACGGGTGGAAATGGGGTATGCCTGTTGTCGTCGCTTCTGCGAGCCATCCTCACAATTGGTCTCGGAACTCTCTGGCCCGTAGCGGTAAACGGGGGCACGTGGAAGCGGAAGCGCTTTTCGGGCGCACACTGACATGGATTACAAATCCTTGGATCTGGCGTGTGGGCGCCAGATTCATGGATTGGCTAGACCACCCCCGGAAACACGAAGCCTGTGCCGCCTCCTTTGGCGACGGAGCGCGTAGATACTGCATAGAAGCGAGACCCGTCACCTATTCACGCCCCCGAACCAACGATTGCGTCTACTCTGGCCGTGCCCGACGACTAGAGGCCTCCTGGATGGGGTCGGAGCAGATGGGGTCGGAGGATCGCGCCGCATCGTCGACGTCGGCGATGCATCGGCGACGTCGACGTGACGCAAATCGGGCTCCACATCGAGCCGCATCGGCGATGCATCGGCGATGCGGCGCGATCCCCAGACCCCATCTGCTCCGACCCCATTTGGGCGGCTTGGATCTCTTTGACAAACGACCCCCCTGCCCATCACCCAATCCGAGCAGCACTGGGGCCGGCGGGCGGGGGCAAAGCCAGATACAGTAGGATCTCGACCACAAGAAACCTTCCACAAGAAACCCGACCCTGGGACCCTGGGAGGTTCGTTGCTTTTTGGTGTGGGAATGGCACGCTTTCCATCGCAAAACCATCGGAACCCAAGAAACCCAGAGCACCCTGGAGGCAAGCAGGATGTTTCTGCGGGCGATACTTCTATCCATATCCAGTGCGCCTTGGACTTTCTCGGAGGGGGCGCCGCAAGGCCGAGGCGCACCGGATATGGATAAAAGTCGAGCCTCTTGGGGCCAGATTGCAGTCCATATCTACCCAGTGCGTCTCGTGTTCCTGGGGAAGGGAGCCAGACACTCCAAGACGCACCCTCGCCATCGCTCGGACGTCCATTCCCTGTGTTTTTGTTCGGTCTCGTGCGTGGCTTTTTCGCCACATGATCAAGGATGCTCCTCGATGGCCCTCGCCGAAGGACACATGCACACGTCCGAGCGATGCCAAGCACCTGCTATGGACCTAGGCACTGCCCGCGACGCTTCTGTAGGCGTGGGCTTCCGCTGCACGCCCGCCGGGCCGGGCGCTGGGCGCGCCGCCGAGAAGGTGGCGTGGAAGTCGGGGCGGGGCGCCTCGCCGAGCGCGCGGACCTCGGCGGCCGCGGGCCCAGCCAGGCGAGGCCCGCGACGAGAGGACACGGCCGGGCCCAGGACGAGGCCGAGGCTGGGACGAGAGCTGGCCATCGCTCGGACTCCCATTCCCTGTGCTTTTTTTCGGTTTCGCGCGTGGTTTTTTCGCCAGATGGTCGAGGATGCTCCTCGAAGGTCCTCGCCGAAGGAAAAATGCACACGTCCGAGCGATGCCAAGAGGGTCGGCCCAACGTGTACAGGAGAAAGAACTATCTGCACACACACGCGCACACACACACACACACACCGATTCCGGGCAGGCCCATCCTGAGCGCATGGTCGGCGCATACGCCCTCCGGCCCTGGCCAGGAAGGCGTGTGCGTCGATCCTGGGCCAAGGATGGGCCCCACCCACCGCCTCAGAAAAATAGCAGCCGCCCAACGGCAACGCATTGACAACAACATCCCGACAAACGACAGCGGCGAAGCAATATGGGCAGCGGCATGAGCGAAGATATTGAATAAAACATTCGTCACTCACGAATTCTCCCTTTTTTCAAGCGTCTCACCTTTTTACATCATCCCTCCTCCCTCCTCCTCTCATCTCTCCTCTAATGTTCCTCCTCACTCCTCACTTATCATCCTACCTGCTCCTTCTCCTACTCATCCTCCGTCATCCTCCATTAAATGATCCTCCTCCTACGCGCATCCTCTCCGGGTCTCCGACGACGACGACGACGCTCAGGCGCGGGCACGGATGTCTCCTGGAAGCATTCTGTTTGCCGCCGCCTGGCGCGGGAACCAAGCAAAAGTGACTCGGAACACCCTCATCCATGCTCCCTCCCCCCTGCTCCTCCAGAGGGGGATGGAGGACGGAGGGAGGGAGGGGGGAAGGCGGAGGAGGTAGGTGGAGTCAAACAATTCAAGAGCCACGCCCTGACGGCGCATCGGCAGAAACACTGTGCACATGAAATCACGCAAAATGTTAGCGGGCCTCGCCAGACATTCACCTGTGAGCGTTGCACACATGGCGTGCGAGTATGAGCATCCCGGTTCGGGAGGGGGGTAGAAGGGAGAAGCCGACCAAGGTCACAATACATGTTTGCAACACTACTTCACAGCTGCATTCCCTTCTCTCGGACACAAATGTAATCATATCTGCCGTCGGCAGGATCGTCTCCTGCGACACCTAACGCGCGGGCTTCAAATATGTGAGGTAGGCGAAGACAGAGGAGGAAAGGGGAAGTGAGGGGGGGGGGAGGAACGGCTCGTCCCCATGAGAAATGGCAAGAGACCGCGCTCGGCGAGGCTCGGTCCGCGCTGGACCCCCCTCTCTGGCGCGCGGAGAGCACCAGGGGCGGCGCCAGATGCGCCGCCGGGAGTGCCCAGCGCGGATCCGAGAAATCCGCGCGGAGCGCCAAAAGTTTGTGTTGATGGCGTTTGTTTTTCTTCGAACTTCGGGCACGACCTCTGGACTTCGCGTCAGATGCCTCTGCGTGCATTCTCGCACCCCTGAGACCAGCCCTCAACATCCCCCCCCATTTCTGGATGGCCTCTCGGCCCTGGCGCGGCCCACAAAAGTGCAAGTCTGATGGAGCCGGCGCTGCCGGAAAAGGTGCCCACCTCCGAGAGCCACAGGAAGACATAAGAACGTCTCAGAAATCTCCGCCTCCTTGTCGAAGGCGCGCCGCAAAACGAAGGCTCCTCCTCCTCCTCCTCCTCCTCCTCCTCCTCCGCCTCCTCCTCCCTCTTCCTCCTCCTCCTCCTCCTCCTCCTCCTCCTCCTCCTCCTCCGACGACGACGACGACGACGACGACGACGACGACGACGACGACGACGACGACGACGACTCCTCCCTCTCCTTTCCTCCTCCTCCTCCTCCTCCTCCTCCTCCTACTCCCCCTCCTCCTCCTCCTCCTCCTCCTCTCCTCCTCCTCCTCCTCCTCCTCCTCCTCCTCCTCCTCCTCCTCCTCCACACCCCCCTCCTCCCCCTCCTCCTCCCTTCCTCATCCGTCCGTCCCCTCCGCCTCGCCGTTCCGAAGCCCCTCGTCCCACTGGACTGGAGAGCCCGCGACATCAGCGACGACGGGAACCGGAGCGCGGGAGAAGAGTGCCCGCGCTCGTGGCAAATCAGCACGCCCGAAATGCGCACACGGACCGATGTCCAGAAGCCGGCATGCCCGTCCCTGCCCTTACCACGACAGCTGGCCCGGGATACGCGAGGCGTTGAGAGGTGAGAGAACAGCGTCGGCTCCTCGGAGACAAACGAAAGGAGTGTCTGAAGGATGGGTCCTGCCTCGCCTGCGCAAGGGGGGGCGAGGCGACAAAATACGCCCACAACAGCTCACAGAGGTAAGCACGGAAAAGAAAAAACACTCCATACAACAATACAGACAACAGACAAACAACATGGGTAAAAAACAGCCAGAGCAAGGGTGGCGAAGAAAACGCGCACAAAGCCTCCCAGCTTACAAAGGCCTCAAACGCGAATTGTCAAGTCAGAAGAGGGGGGGAACAGGAGGGAGGAGCTGAAGCAGGTACAGGAGGACGACGATGAGGAATTGTATCCAGGCGCGGCTGAAACCGTGCAAGCGGGGCTGGCTACGCAGACAGACTCAGGCGAGAGCCTGACAAGTAAAGCCTCGTGCACATCCCTGAAAGGAGCGCCGCACGATGAAGGGGCAGGAGGCTAGCCCAACTCAGCGCAATCGTGTTCGACCACGACGAGCCCACCGTAGGTGGCGTCGAGGACATATTCGCCGAATGGGCGAGGCCTCGGCTGCCACTGCACAGACGACAGCAGCGGCTGCCCAGCACGAGGGCGCAGGCCCCCCCGGAGACGGTCTAAGCGAGCGCGCGTCTTGGAGGGCACTCCACCGTGGCAAGGGAGCACCAGGAGCTGCGCATTCTCGCTGGAGTGCGCACCACAGCGGGCGCAGAAGACAGACTTGGACCCCGTGCCAGACGCGGCGGCCCCCTCCCAGTGGCGCACGCGGCTGGGATGAAGGCGCCCCGCTGCCGAGCGACGCGGAAGCACCTGGCGCACCTGAAGCCCGCGGGGGGCGGCACGGGCAAGTGGGCATCCTGGGGCGGCACCGTGTCCGCCGCGAAAGCTGGCGTCGGCCCCCGTCGCTTGGCCCGCCGCAGCTGTCTGCGGCGCGGCGCCTGCTGCGACTTGTGGCTGACGGCCTGCGCTGTCCGGGCTAGGAACTTGGCCACGAAGGCGACCAGCTAAAAGGAGCGCTGCGCGCGCTGGCTGGCCTCGGCATCCGCGGGATGGAGGGAGGCGCCCACGCGGGCGCCAGCATCAGCGTGGCGGTTCCCCCACCTCGCGACAGCGCCCAGCTCCTGCTCGTCGCGCCGCGACGGCGGCGGGCGTGGCCTTTCACTTTCCGCACTGCCCCCCCCCCCCGAGGTCGCCCGCCCGATCCCATATCTGGGACCGCGCGCCAGCGCCCTCGCACATGGCGCCCGTGGTCTCGAGGCGGCCACGCCGGAAGCTCGAGACCACCCAATCGCAGCCCGAATGGTTATGACGACGAGGGGCTCGTGCAGATGGAAAATCCCAAATCGAATAAAACACGTCGAAAACATATCGCGGAAGAGGTTGCGGCAAATTTTGGAAAAACGTCGAAAACATATTGTTTGAAAAAAGAAAAAAAGGTCGCAAGCGATGTCGCGGGATGATGTTTCGACATCTGTGCCCGATCTTTTTTTCCAGAGGCACGCGCCCACGCATGCACGAAAACTACAGATGTCGAAACATCATCCCGCGACATCGCTTGCGATCTTATTCCATTTGTTCAAACAGTATGTTTTCTATGCTTTTTCCAGGATGCGTCGCAACCTCTTCCGCGATATGATTTCGATTTGTTGTATTCGATTTCTGATTTTTAATCTACACATTTGTATTGATTTGCAGGTTCTACAACTTGTATTCCTTCGTACTATATCTATGCCCCCCAAGTGTTGCAATCATTGTAAACACGTGCTTATTCTGCTTCTCCAGGCAGGGTAACCCATCAATATCATCCAACTCTGCTGAACATCGCTGGGTTGCTGTCTGGCTACACATGCAGGAGAGATACAACATGTGGTTGGGGTGTCTCATCGGTACGAACACGGTCGAACTGCCTACTGCCCCAAATACGCCAATGAAGACGCCGAGGCTAGCAAAGCACAGGAAAGGATAATAATGATTGGTAGAGGGTAACAGTGTAGAGGGGGGCGAAGTAGAACAGGGTGAGCACACTATAGCGTAGCAGGGCAATGCGAGCACATTTAGACTATGAGATTACACTGTCTTATAACATGAGATACACAAACACAGCATTGAAAACTTGTTGTATGATACCGTATGGCAAAGGAGAGTGTTGAATACTCGCGTGAAGCAGAGCTGAGTAAAGCGGATAGAAGAAGCAATACATATCCGCATACATGTGTGAACTCTGTGTTCCGAGGGAAGTAGATTATAGCAGAGCAGAAACGAGGAAAGAAGCACATAGCGAAACCGAGTAGAGCACAATCGATAAGGCATAATGGGGCGTGGTAGTGGCGCCGAGAAGAGTAGTAGTATATCTGGATAACTTGACGAAACCACACAAACAAAATAAGGTATGATATTTCACAACTGGCCAAATCAAAGGCGAGCAGAGCAGGTGTGCAGTATAGGAGCACTGGAAAGAGCGTGGCGCGGTAGAGCAAACGAGGACGCGTGGAGCACGGCAGGACACGGCGAGCATGGTAGACCAGGAGGGATTAGAGCTAATTACCATAGCGTATCATTGAACAGGGCACGGTTGAACATAGCAATGTTTGTTTTCTGGGCGCAAGGGTGCTAAAGCATATTTAATTCCGATTTCTGGCATCCCCATTTGGGAGACGACAAACCATATTCCATCCCCCATTCTGGGCCTGGACGGTGCCCCCTACAAGATTCAATAATGTCTCGCGGGTCTGAAGATGGCTCCAAAACAGCATCATATAGCCCAAGGTGGCAACCAATACCTTACAAGGAACGTCAATCTGGTCACATGTGGCACCCAGCGGGACCCCAAGAAGCTCAACTGGGCGCCAAGACCAAGACGGCATGAAGTGGCCATGGATCTCACCAACGATGCAACCGATATATCAAGCTTGTGAGGCTTCAGAGGCGGCTCGAGGAGGGGAGGAGGAGAAGGAGGAGGAGGAGGAGGACGAGGAGGAGGAGGGTGCGGAGCTTGACACTCTTGTAATAGGCTTGAGAGGCGGCTCGAAAAGGATGATAAGGAGGAGGGGGGGGGATGAGGGGAGGGGAGGACGACGAAGAGGAGGAGGGGGAAAAGGAGAAGGAGGAGAGGGGGGGCGTAGGGGGAAGAAGAAGAGGAATATGAGGAAGCGGCGGAGGAGGAGGAGGTGGAGGAGGATGGGGGATGGGGGAGGGGGAGGGGAAGGGGGAGAAGGAGGAGGAGGAGGGAGGGAAGGAGAAGGAGGAGGAGGAGGAAGATGAGGAGCAGGAGGATGAGGAGGAGAAGGAAGGTGAGTTACGGTTCGTCGAACCGTATTTTTTGCCAAACCGTAATTCCACCCTCCTCCTCCTCCTCCTCCTCCTCTTTCTCCCCCCTCCCCCTCCCCCTCTCGCTCCCCTCCCCCGCGTCATCACCGTCCTCCTCTTCAGCTTCCTCCTCAGCATACTCTTTTTCTTCCTCCTACTCCTCCACCCTCCTCCTTCGCCTCTTCCTCTTCCTCCTCCTCCTCCTCCCCCTCCCTTCTCCTCCTCCTCGTCCTCCTCCCCCTCCCCCCCCCATCAT